TCAGCAGCTGATATACAGCTAGTGCCAGTTAGAACTTGGAATTACTGTTTTGTGAAAAATGTCAACATTTTGACATTTGTTGCTATTCTCAGGGTAGAACGGAACTGCATATTCATCTGGAAATTTTGAAATGTCACGTAGAAATCACAAATTCAACTCTGAATTTCAGAATTTCACTTTTTATTTCACTTTACTTTAGCTTTCTGTCTTTTTTAATTAATTAAATGTCAAAGTAGAATATTTTAAATAGATCTTTTTCATTTTACTTAGGTTTGCTTTATTTTAGCATTTTAAAACTATGGGAAGCCATTGTCTCACACTGACAGAAAACCAACTTCAAACATCGTTTTACAACATCTCTGAATCCCATCCAGTGGAAATTTTTGAATTGTGACTTTTAGGAAGAGGACACTTGAGTGGAGATATGAGATTTGCGGGAGAAGACTCGGGGGGGAGTGGGGGGGGGGGCAGGCAGTGTACAGCAAGCTGCTTGCCTTTCTCCACAAGCAAAAAAGCGACACTAAGAAAGAGTATATTCCTGTGACAGCAGGACGGAATCTGGCAGATTGCATTTATTCATCTGCAGAGAACAAAAAATTCCTAGTCGCTAGATTAACAGCGAACAGCAAGAGCATTAGTCTCAGTTCAAACACAAGTGCCGGAGGTATCTACTTTATGTGAGTGATGGCAGACTGTAAAAATTATTAAACCAGTACAAGAGAAGTGCATCAGTCATAGCAAAGGACACTGGTGAGCAGATGTTTCTGAAGCAAAAATGAAACTTCCAAGCGAATGTCTCCATCACAGGTATTAAATCAGTGGAAAAACTGACAAAAGCTGTGTAAAATGAGAAAACAGTGAGCTGTCACAGTCCCCTTCTGGGCACTGCAAGTTTTGTGAGACCGTGTCAATGCTGGTTGCAGCAGGCAGCAAAGAAACACCACCTCCAGCAGTGCGGAAACGACGTGGTGGTTGAGGTCTGCTAATCACGGGCGGCCACCACCACCTAAACCATGCCAAAAGCACAAGTGGCTTGTTAATTTTATCTCCTGATTTCCAGCTGTCTCCCCACTTAATTTCCACAGCACTTGCCTAGAACGGTGCACAACACTGAAGGTCTGTCTTAAGAGGAGGTCATGCTCCATATGCACTGGTGCCTGTATATGTGTAAATGGCCACAACGGGACTCATGGCTGGTGTGGGCAAACCAGGTTAAGGAACTCATACATCTGTGCCATGTCAGTAAGAACAGACACAGCTACCAAAGGGACACTGCTTCCTTACTCCTTCCAGCAAATCATCAGCAAAGGAGCATGGATTTGGTTGCTCTACTAAGTCAGAGCTACAAAACACTTTTGTCCTCCCCAAATCGGCAGATCGTTCTCAAGAGATTAATGTTTTTGTTAAGATTTCAACCATTCTGGACCAAACCCACAAGCTGTCTCATATGATTTCAGTGGCACCCAGTCTGGATGCTGAAAAACGTGCATGTGCCTTAACGATGGAATGTGGTTCCCCAGGCCTGTAAGCAGATTCAGAAAGAGGAAGGAGAATACAAGGGATCTGAGATCTAGGAAGAACAGACCTCCCAGGTGTCTACAGTGGCCACCCCTCAAATACACCAGGAGCCACATGAGGTCCCTGAAAGATTCACAAAGCCAACTGGGAGACACGCAATAGTGTCTCAAAAACACTGACCCCCAGACAGTATAACAACCTAGAGCTATTTGGAGATATGAGAGCTCGACAAGGGTATTTGGTGTCTTAACCAATCCAGCACAGAAACATTTGTTGATAGGTGAGCTGGTCAGTGGTGGGACTTCCAGCAATTCTGTTTTGGCCAAAGGGCAAACTTGCAGGAATTCTCCATATCAGAAACTGGCTTTGCCATTTTTGTTTTCTACTGTGGACATCCTGGTGCCAGAAATCAGTGCACCTAATGAGTCACCCTGGTCTTGTGCTCTCTGGCCTTTGGGTGGGGAGAGGTTAAGAGAGTGGCTTCAGATTTTGACTTGAGTGGGCAAAGCACTGCTGGCAGAAAGTATGACAGTAGTTGGTCATGTCACATGTTTCTGTGATGGTCTCATGACAACTCCGCTGCTGCTCCTACAGAAATCCCCACCACCTACCACCCAGAGGAGAGAGCTCCTGAGGTTTTTGGCCAGGAAAAAACCTCGAAGCACATGAAGGTTTAAATGAGGACATGCACTCCACCAGTTATTTCCTAACTAGGCGTTAATGCGAGACAGGGTGCTACAAAAGGCTAAAATGCACAGAGGTTTCACATGTATGACTCTCACTTCCATAACTGGCCCAAGGACAGAATGCAATGCAGCGTTGTGTGTGAGTAAAACTCATTGTTCTCAGTGGGCTTTAAGAACCAGTACAGATTACTTGCTGTTCCCATACCAATCCAGATTTATTTTGGATCAGCAGCGACTTCAACATGATTAGTACGCAGTAAAAAACACAGAGCCACAGTACTGTGAACCTTTTCCTAGTCAGAATTCAAAATATAAACTTTTTTTTTTTACTCTTTAAAAAACCTAAATAAATTTAATGAAAAATTTTACCTCTCACAGTGATGGATCATGGTATGTATTAGAATTAAGGACCATGAACTGCTGAGATGGGTTTGTTACAACACCTTAACATTTTTCCCACAATGTGCGTTCAAAATTAAGAATGCACTTCTCTGAATACATTTAGAAATTGTTTTATAATTTAAGATCATTCCTTTGCAAGAAGAAAAATTTCTAAAGGCCTTCTTGCATTTTATGTGATATGTATTAGTGCCAGCTTCTTACCCTGGCTTCTCAAATCAATTTCCTTAACTGAAAGGCCTCAAACCAACCTTGAAAAGGCAAAACACAACAAAATGCAGAAGCCAGATGTGTGTAGGAAAATACGTTAAAATTCACATTGTAGCCAATAAGTAAAATTACAGTGACAATTCTTGCTATCAGATACCTGGCTCTAACACAGCCTTCCTCTTTTTCCCTTTAAAGAAAATCATTCCGAAAGTTGATTTTATGAATGAGTTAGTCTGCAAAGGAATAGAACAGCATGTGGTAAAACTGGACAATGCTGTTTCACGGGCAAAGCATACAGTGTTTTATTACTGAGCGTTTCCTGTCAGAGCGTAAGATCACCTTCAATTCTTCACCAATTAAACTCTACGCATGTTACAAAGCAGCCATCAAGCAAAGTCTGCCACCAATATGTTAAAGAAGAATTATAAGTTCAAAAGTGAAACAGATAATAACGCAGATATTTAGCAGGCTGGAAGGGAATGGAAATTCTGGAGGAATCTGTCACCAAGCAGGTAATAGTCCGTTTTGCAGAAGCACTAAAATTATTTTTATAGAAATATATATGAAGTATTTCTGCACATGTATTTGCAACACACATGCACAAACATATGTATATAAATACATACATATATGCATACATGAAACCCCAAACTTGAGCTAAATTAAATTGTCCCTCCAGCTTTGTAATGCAAATGAGACTAACAGGCTTGTGCTGTTTGTGGTTTGAGATGATTTGTGTTTCCATAGAGATGCTGTCTGAACTAAAGTTTTTTAATTTTTTATATATATAAGCCTATTTGTATCTATAGAAGTCTAAATATGCATCTGCTGTACCTCAGCGTTTCCTCAGTGACTCCACTGGAACCACGACTTAGACCAGTTAAGGCTATGTGCAAATTTTGTGTCTTTCACTACTTTCCAATCTAAGCTCTATAACACGTACCTGCAGAGCTGAGAGTTTATTACTTCTCTCCCCACGCCTAGCTTCTTGATAAGGCAGTGAAAGAAAAGAGAAAAAGCAGTTTCTTAGCTGCTAGTAGATAATATTTCAAGGACTTCTGTAATTTATTGTGCTCTGTAAACTGCCTGGAGAAACATCTTTGCCTTCAAAAGTTCCCACTGTCAGGAAATCTGGAATTCAGGGAAAACAGTCTGTGTGCTGCTAGTGAATGAAATGCCAAAAGGACATACTTTCTGTTATGTGTCAGAAGCTTTTTCCCCTTTTCCTGTGTGCATCCACAAGCTGAAGAGCAGGGATGTGCTGAGACAAGCCAGGGTGGGCCTGAGCAGCACTGGCTTCGCTGCCTCCCCGCCTGGGCTTGGCTGTTCTCACCCTTCAGTGCACCCTAAGCTCATCATACACTACGAGGACCCCGCAAAGTTAAAAAGCCTGTGTCCCCTCAGACCCACGCTAAAGATGGCCACCAGCAGAATCGACAAAAGCCAGCCAGGGGCAAAGCTTGTTCAGAGAAACCAGGCAGAACAGTTTAACTTTCTATTTCAAATTGGCTTTGCTTTATGAGGTCCGGGCACCAGTTCAATGGATGGAGGCCACCCCACGTACCATCACCTGAGAGGGAAATCAGAGCTGAGCTCTGTGGGAACTCATTTCCATGTGGTTTCAGCGATAAGTGATTTTTGAACAGTGACACGCCAGAGGTCAACCTCCGCAATTGCTCTGAACCACAATCAAAACCAGCCTCTTGCGTACCTCCTATCTGCCCAAGAAGAGAAAGGATTTGTCCAGTGAACCAGAGGTGTCCACAAGCACATGGAGCAGAAGCTCACACCCAGCCTCTCGTTTGATCTTGGGAGGGCCCAGAAGGGAAGACCCAAGTGCAGTGACGACATAGGGAGGTATGGCCAGCGAACTCTGCGGGTAATAACATGTCAGAGGGACGAAACCTCCCTCTTGCCCACAGGGTGACACTGCACCTCCTCACGCAACACCATCTTGACCTTCGAGGATGATGGCGTTTCCAAGCCCCTACAAAAGCCTCTTTCCAAATCAGACAAGAGTTCTCTATTTCCAGCTTTTAAGAAGGCATACAGAGGGAGATCTGCCTCAGGTCCCCCAAAGGCACCATTTAACCCCTCACGCCACCTTTCAGGGAGGGTCCCAGGGCACGTTCAGCTCCGTGGCTCTCCGCTCCCCTGGGGAGGCTGGCAAGTGCCCGCGTCTCCTACCTTTTGCTGCAGCGTGGGTGGCTGTGGGGACAGCACCGGGTCAGTGATGTAGGTCTTCTTCGTGCCAGGTGGCTGGTAGAGCCCAGGAGGAGCCTGGCCCATGGTGTTACTAGCAGGATATGCTGGCTCGGCTTTCCAGGAGCCCTGCGGCATGTAGGGCGCTTCGGAGCCATTCCTTCCCCCGTACCCCCCGTAGTAGGGGTCCTGGTAGCGGCCCTGTGGAGGTGCATAGCCATAGGTTGGTTCCGAGGGCCGGGCAGGTGGCGGGGCGTAGCCATAGTCGG